GGCTCAGACTCTGGCACTGGATTGGGAATGCTGGAAGCAACGTCTGCTTCCGCGACCCGTAAGGAAAAGCGGCCATGGAAGATGAAGATGAAGGAAGCGACCAATAACAACAGGTACGCTTGGTGAAGTATTTATTCTGAAGTTCTGAAGTAGGGTGCAAATCAAGCTCATGGGAGGCTGGATTTGGCAACGAAGTTTCAGGTGAGACACTGATTACAGTTTGCCAACCGAAGCTCATCCATCAATTTTGCAGGTCTGGAAGTAGGGCGGAAGTACCCTGCGATGCATGAAAATGCTGCCTGTCTACGATCATCAAGGATATCTGTCTATTATCAAATCTATACAAATGACTCTCTTTCTGAATTCGTTGAGAAGGATGAAGGTTATGAAATAATTATCGATGTACTAAATCAATAATAACCTATTTTAATGTTATTTATTCAGATATACATGGAACAAACGACAGACATAATAGATGTCACAAAATCTTAAAGGGTTTCTTCCTAATTCAAAAATAAAAATTCATTTATCAGGCAAAGGCTATGATTATCAACTGCTGAAATGTCTGCGAATGAGAAATGGTAGATAAAGGTCTGCACCAATTACCTTTGACCCATGATAAGTTTGTCAAGTGTGTTCGCATGAAAAGTCAAGTATTTCCATTTGAAAAGTTATGTACGCACTTATTCACTCATTAATGCATTCATTTAATCGTTTATTTATGGATCTTTTGCATACCTCAGAAATTCATTAATTCGTTAACTTATTTCCTCATTATTGATTGATTCGTTTATGCATTCTTTGATGCATCCTTCCCACGATTCATTCACTCATTTTTTGACATTCTATTCATTTATTGGGTCATTCGTTCCTTGATTGATTTAATCAATCAATTTATTTATTAGTTCATTCATTCATTCATTTACTCATTCTTTCTTTTATTCTCTAATTTATCTTTTCCTTCGTTCGCTCATTCGTTCGATTACTTATAATTCATTGAGTTTATAAATTCAATTTTCTATGTATTCGTATTATCCTCAATGAATAATTCATTTAGTTCTTCGTTTGCATTAATGTATCATTGATTCATCTACCATCTCCTACTGTTTCAAGATCTTTGCTTCGTGACGCCTTCCTAGAGTCATGCTTAATCAGACATCATAACGCAAGTTCAGTAGTCCCTGTTTCAAAAATCGAGTTCGGTTTCGCTCCATACTCAGGATTCGTCGTCTCACATGCAAAGTTCCTAAGAGAGTTCGCTCTGGAAATCCTTCATTTCCATTCTTAAGACATTCTGAAATTGTTAATTAACAGAGTTTCTATGATTATTAATAATAATCTAACAGCTTAATCATGTGCAGAGATGTAGAAGCTAAACGATCAGCAGACTTGATCAAGAAAAAATCCAGTCCAGTCAGAATCACCTTAGCACAAGAGAACGATTTTCTGGAGGATAATGCTGCAATTTACATGATGTTTAAGAAATGTTGATGTTTTGATTTTGGTTTCAAACAAAACAAGAAAGTTTCTGAAATTGTTCTAAAAGAAGCAAGAAAATAAAAAACAAATTAATCACACAAAATATGACTTTCGTTGTATACCCTTAGAAAATAGAAAACATAGACTAAAATATCTGAGGCGTCACTTTAATATATTTGCTTAAGTAGGGCAATTTGGAACATGGCATTTCATGAAGTTATTCATTGCAAGGACTAAACGCAGACCAAAATGAGATTGTGGGTTGATAACACATAGAAATAGACAGGTTTAGCGATCACCGAAATCATAATCGTATCTCAACTGTGAGAAAGTAAATGGAAAGAGTATGAAAGTGCACAACGCCAAATGATCGCTCGAAGGAAAACCGCAAAAATCAAACTGATTACCGATATCCACTACTGTTACTGTCTTTGCATAAAACTACTTTCACTTAAGTCATGGGAAAGGCTTGCAATTCCAGGATAAGGAAGAATTTGAGATATCTTACTAGCCAAGGTTGTATCTTCTTCATCTTCATCTTCTTCCGGTTGAGAAACGAGGAGGGCTGGAGACCGTGGCAAGTCTCCGTAAAATTCAGCCACCTGCCACTCATGGTATTGACGCCTT